AACCACAAAAGGTTCTTAGAACATTGTTTGGTGGGGTACTATAGGCGAGCCGGGACGCTTCGCCACTGCTTGACACTGGGAGATCCAAGAAGGTGAACTTCTTGGCCGGCATGAATCAGACAATTAGGAAACCGTTCAGGCCGACAGTGCTCGCTGTCGGGGCCTGGTCGCATCAGATGCAAGGCTGCCCACCCTGCTGGAGTGCAGGTGCCTGTGCTACGTCATTGCTTGCTTGCCAGGTGATGATGCGCAAGGCGGCCCTGGTTATACGTACACTGCGGTATGGACAGCTATTCGAGTGAAGCAGGCTCTGGATTAAGACTGATGATAAAACCAAGGTTGGTGTGATGGAGGCGTGGGGTACTGTTGAAGACAAACTTGCGAACGCTGGAGCCAATGTGTGGAGGTATGTTCGAGGCCCCATTGGGGCTGTGGTGGCTACTACTATTGGGCTCGGAGGGGACCCCAGTGGCCCCATCAAATGGCGCTGCGCACTGATCGTAGGTATGTCAAGTTTCACCTGTGGAATGTCGTGACACAAGCTGTTGGTACACTGCAGTGGCACAAAGCGAACCAGCATGGTTGTGGCAGCGGATTGCAAGGTGGAGTCGACTTCACCACCTGTCGTAAAGTTAGGAAGCAGCTGCAGAAAGAAAATGCTCGGGAAGGCGTGGGTCTTCTCACCAACAACGTCTTCAGTGCGCAGCGGTCAGGGGCGAGACTCAACAAAATACGGCTATTCATAGTATGGAATATATTCCTAATGTGGAGTTGCGCTTGAAGACTCGCATCACCACTTCTGGAAATGCAGGTGTAATGCTGACATTGAAGCCGCCGCCATCGAGCAAACTACTCACATGAAAGATGGTTGTCGAGAAGCTCATCAAAAATCTGACTGATTTGGGGCTCGAAGTTTGGTCCCCAAAGGATGGGCCATGGATGTCACTGTTGACAAACAATGCTTGGGCCTGGGGCAGTTTGCTAGAAGCTGTCGAAAGTGGGGTTCCCATTTCTGGAGGTTTCTTCGGGACCAACGGCTCTGGAGAAGAGAATGCCAACGACTGGAGGATTAGAAGGTGCGGTTGGGCTGCCGTTCACCTTGAGCACGGATCCCTGGAGAACGCCGGAGTTCATGTGGTACGCTCCCAGGGCCCCATCAAAGTTTCCCTAGGGCTGAGTTACATGCCGTCACTCAGCTGTTGAAGTTCACTGGAGATGGCATCGCCTTTGGCTGCGATTCCAAGCCGATCCTTGCTGCATTCCGTCGGCAAGGAGTTGCAGTCAGCGAGTCATGCATGTTCGACCTCTGGCAAGTTGTCTGGGACCTGCTCGGAAGTTCCCCCAGCAGCGCGGAAGAGGCACCTGGATCCCACCACGTCCCACAGAGAGAGCAACTCAGAGAGACCCGACCAGACGCCAGTTGTTGTTTTTTCCCCAGCGAACGCAAGCACACGATGCCCGTCCATGGGCAAGACCAGACGCCTGTTGCCTTGTGGTAAATGCGCTGGCCGACGCCCGTGAAGGGGAGGCTGCGTGCGGGGGGGGGGCGTCCCAGCCTCTGTGGTGAGGTGCGTCGAGGCTACGACTGTTCACCGCATGCCGGTGTTGGGAAAGACGCCTGGCTGTAGCCGGGCGTGCTGCGCCCACGTGCCCTCGTGAGAGAGAGAGGAGCGCCTCGGCCGAGAGATGCACAGGCAGCGCAGCAGTTTGAGCAGCGGCGGAAGCAAGAAGCAGAGGCTCCTTGGAGCTGGCCGCAGCATTGTTAAAGTCGGCACGCAACACAAGTGCCAGGCTTGCGAGAGTAAGTGTCCCGCCTTCCAATGGAAACCCGCCAATTGCTGTTTCTAATGTTTGTTTCCCCGCGGCTTGCCCTGGACATCTCTCTGGTGTTGGGTCCGGTTGGGAAGAGTGGGTCGTCGACTGGGACCGCTGCTGGAGGCCAGGGCCCTTGCGGGGCCGCTGTTTTGCATCCCTTCGAGAGCGGATGCCGCGGCTCCCATTCTCTTAATGTGTACAGGGGAGTCGTCTTTTGCAGGAGCTGCGGCGATGACTATATCAAGCAGACTGTCAAACTTGCAGAGCCCTGCCCTCCCATCTCGGCCACGGGGCAGGGCAATGTCAAAAGGATCAACAAGATATTGCCCCTCAAGTGTATCAATATGGCATTCAGTTTTCTTGTCTCTGATCTGTGGGGTGGGTCCGAGCTGGCACGCAGGGAGCCCATCAGCGGAAAGGTCAAACGGTCCTCCTCCTCCTCCTCCTCCTCCTCCTCCTCCTCCTCCTCCTCCTCCTCCTCCTCCTCCTCCTCCTCCTCCTCCTCCTCCTCCTCCTCCTCCTCCTCCTCCTCCTCCTCCTCCTCCTCCTCCTCCTCCTTCCCTCTCTTCCTCCTCCTCATGCCCCTTTCCTCATGCTTCGCCGATCCTCCCCCCCCCTCCCTTCTTCCTGCTGCTCCGCCTCCTGCCCCCCTCCTCCTTGCCCTTCCTTTTCTCGTCGCCTCCCGGGGCGCATCGGCAGGTCCGCCGCGCGCGCCGCCGCCGGCGCTGCCCCCGCGCCCTCAGCCGTTCCGCAGGTCGTGCAGCTGCGCCAGCCCCTGCCGCCCGAGTGGGCGAGACCAACGGGGGGCAGTGCAGGAGGAGGAGGAGGAGGAGGAGGAGGAGGAGGAGGAGGAGGAGGATGAGGAGGAGGAGGAGGAGGAGGAGGAGGGATGAGGAGGAGGCATGAGGAGACGAGCATACGACAGGAGGAGGAGGACGAGGAGAAAGACGAAGAAGAGGACAGGGAAGAGGACTCGAGGCCTGCGCCCTTGTGACTCGGAGGCGTCTCCTGGCCCCTGGCTCCCGAGGAGGTGCGCCAGGCAGCTGGAGCACGCACGCGGCTGGAATCACGTGCGGGGCATCCGGAAGCCACGCGCGCGCGGAGGCCTGGCCTGCACCGGCCTCAGGAGACCCGAGCGCCAGAACGGCGCCTGGCCAGCTGTGCGCTCCGCCGCCGCCCGGGCCGGCCGCGCCGTGCCCACGCACAGCTTCCTGGCAGGCCGAGCGGAGGAGCAGGGAAGGTCGCCAGAGCCACGACCCGCGCGAGGCGCCAGGGAGGGGCCTTTATGGTGGCGTGGCCCCCCCGTGTCGCTCGCGACGCCCCCCATCCCCCGGCTCTGGGGGGCATCGTGGACCCCCCCGCTGGAGGTGCCCCGCCCCGGTCGTGGTGGCCTCGCCCCTCCTTCCTCGGAGATGTGCGACAGGTTCGTGTCGCGTCGCCTTGCACGCTGACTTGCTGCTACCGCTCTGGTCCTACCACTACTGCCGTGTAGGACGTAGGAGCCTGCGACGCGGCTGTGGCGTGGGTGGCAGGGCCACGCCTGCCACGCCCTGCGATACGCAGGACCCTTCGACGGAAAGTCTACAGGAGCGTTCGCGGGGTTCCGATGGCGGCGGCGCGCGCGACGGTTCAAAGATGGGGCCCCCAGGGAGGCGGCGGTTCAAAGATGGGGGCCCCAGGGAGGAGGAGGAGGAGGAGGAGGAGGAGGAGGGGAGGAGGCCGAGGGGGAGAAGGAGGAGGAGAAAGAGGAGGAGGAGGACGAAGAGGAGATGGTGGAGGAGGAGGAGGAGGAGGAGGAGCAGGAGGAGGAGGAGGACAACGACGACGACGACCCTTCCACGATCGCGGGGCTCCGATGGCGCCGATCGTTCGCCGCCGGCCGCTTCCTGGACCACTGGCGGCTTCGGACACTGTGAGCGCCCGCGCTGGGGTCGCCGACACGCCGACGCGGCACGGACCTGCCGTTGGAAGGTGTGGGCGGGGGGGGGGTCCTCCTCCTCCTCCTCCTCCTCCTTCCGTCCTTCTCTCTCCTCCTACCACTCCTATCCTCCTCCTACTCTTCCTTCCTCCTCCTTCCTCCCCTCTCCTCCTCCTCTCCCTCCTCCTCCTCTTTCCCCTTCCTCCCCTCCTTCCCTCTCCTTGCCTCCTCCTTGCCTTTTCATTCATTCTCATTCTCCGTCCCTCCCTCCTCCTCCTCTCCACTCGCCCCCCTCCACCACCTCCCCCGTTGCTCCTCTTTCTTTCCCGTGCCCTCAGAGGGCATGCTCCCAGTCAGTCCGCCCCCTCCCATCCAAGCGCACGGATATGAACGGTTCCGAGAGATCTGTGAAACGTGGATTCGAGCAGCGGTCAGGGACCGCCGGGACCAGTGGAGGAGAAAGAGGAGATGCCGACGGACCGTGGCCCGTACGCTGCGCTGCCGCGGAGGACAGCCAGTGGTGGCGAGAGGAGCCGATGATCTCGCAAGGACTCCCACCGACGGAACCACCCAAGAACGGCGACAAGGGTGCGTAGCGCTCAGCCGATCAGGGCTGTGCGTGTGTGATCACGCACCAGACAAGAACCTTCGGCCTCATCGCCTCGCTTGCGATCCTTTGCCGCGCGCGGCAGCGATACTCATACTGCCGGGAACTGTTTGAGAGGAGCTATAGGTTGAGAGTTCGTGCGCACTGCGATCTTTGCTGGGTCGTATGCCAAGGGGTGTCAGAGTAGCGCGAATATGAAGAACGGGGCGCACAGGATCTCAGGCCACGCCTCCCGCGGCCCGAAGCAACACTTGCAGACAGTAGGGTCTGCGGTGAAATGGCGCTGCCGTAAAGTTCACGTGTCGCTGCATCACCTGCGGTGATTAACTGGTTCATTGCAACAGGGCCATGTTGCCATATCCTGTCGTGGACTTTGGCGGCTCCAAAGAGAACGCTCACGAGAACGAGGATCACCTAGCTCTGCAAAAAAAGCGCACCAACAAAAAGCTACCACGCGTAGGGGCAGGCACCACGCGCGTAGCGAGCCTCCAACCTGGCAGTCATCTCGACAGTGGTGGCGCACCGCTGCTCACTCACTCCGTGCTCCCACA